GGAGCCAAGGGAGAGGGCACTTTTGGGGGGCATCATCTCAAATATCAGTGGTGGGAAACTTCCACCTGTAATAAAACACCTCAATCACAAAATGCTAAGCTTTTGTTTTTGTTTTTCATGAGGAAGCATGTTGGGTTTAACAGTGGCATCCTATCTAAGAGAGCTAACCTGATGGATCATCTGTCAGGAAATGTGTAATGGGAACCCAATGGAAAACACACCCAACAGAAAGAAGCTGGAAACAAAGCATGTGTGTGACAATTGAGGAATGGCTAAACAGATTATGGCATGGCACACGGATGCAATGGAATAGTATTGTTCCATAGGGCATGACTTCTAGGAAGAAGCCAATGAACCACAGAAGATTTGTATCAAGTGACACAGAGTAAAGAAATCAGAGCCAAAAGAACAAGCTACACGATGGTGACAATAATATAAATAATGTCAGCCCTGAGAGGCAACAGAATTCAGGGCAAGTACAACAATTAATGGGGACAATGTTTCTATCTGTTAACAAGTAGTAAACTAGAAAGCGGAATGTGTAATGTGATTTCACCTGCAGTCAGGTGGTTTTCCTTAGCTGCCTTAAAGGAATATACTTTTGGGGGGTGGAGAAGGGAGAAAAGGAATAAGCATTTATTAAGCACTTCCTATGTCCCAGGTACTGGGCACATTCTTTACAAATATTATCTCAGTTGACCCTTACCACCAACCTGGGAGGTAGGTGCTATTATTGTCCCCTTTTTAGAGTGAGGGAACTGAAGCAAATAGAGTTTAAGAGACTTACCCAAGGTCATATAACTAGAATCAGAGGCAGATTTGAATTCAGGTCTTCCTGATTTAGGGCAGCTAGGTGGATAGAGCACGTGGCTTGGACTCAGGAAGAATCATCTTCATGAGCTCAAATCTAGCTTCAGACAGTTAACCAGTTGTGTGATATTGGACAAGTCTCTTAATCTTGCCTTACCTCAGTTCCTTACCTGTAAAATGAGCTGGAGAAGGATACGGCAAACCACTCCAATATGTTTGCCAAGAAAATCCCAAAATGGGTCCACGAAGAGTCAGACATGACAAAACGACCGAACAGCAACGAACTCCTCGATCCAGGCCTAGCATGCTATCGGGTATACCATCTAGCTGCCTCGTCTTTAAATGTCTGTTGAGAAGGGTCTGTTGTGTCTGAAACATCTTTTAAAAAAGAAATACATCCAACAATTGTTCTGATAAGGAAGAAATAAAAACTTAGTGTTATCCTCAGGTGTAAAGGGAAGAAATCCCAGATTTAGTCTAAATTGAAATAATGAAATATTCAGTGGGTATAAGGAGAGATTATTTTAAAACGTACCTCGATTCCCTGAGAGTTTCTTTCCATACCAAGGAAAATCTTGAGATTTTCAGTACTTGTCTAATAGTAGATGCTTAGGAATGATAAGCAAGGCTATAAGTAATGTAGGGTGACTGAAGTTTTGTCCTAGAGCACTAAATGAAAATGTATTAACAATATTTGCAGTTACTTAACGTCGTGGAATGAGCTTCTCCCTTACTCTACCTTACCTACACCACCGCTCTTCCGTCAGTGGCTTGAATTGATATCCTGGTCTATGTCTTCCCACTATAGGACATCATTGTATTCCCAGTGTTTTCCATATTGTTTTCCTGCTACAAAAATGTCAGGTTATGACTTGGTTCATAAGGTTTGTCTCATTCTCTTCATCAAACATTCCCCAAATATTTTACTCTAATTTCTCTAGGCTTAAATGTCCTTTAACACTTAGAGACTGTGCTCTCCATTCTGGGATTTAATTATATATACTGGCTGAATATACTGATTATATTCTGGTTAATTATTTACTGGCTAATGAGGAAGTAGATTCGTTGAAGACCCCTACTCTATTCCAATCAGTATCAATCAGTTTAATATGATTCTAAGTTCTGTACATTTGACCTCAGGGCTATGAGCTGCAGATGTAAGATCACTTGCATATTCATGGGAAGTTGGCTGGAGACTCTCCACCCTTGTTTTTCCTTGTGATGATGACCAAACCCAGTGTGGTGGAGGTGATTCAACTACATGGAAAGTCCCCCAAAATTATTTCTGTACCTTCAGTCCATTCCCTCTTGTCCAACATGAGCAGATGCCCATCTTGTAACCATCTTATGATCACCTAGTCAGTGGAGATATTCCTTTCTTTGTCCTATCATGACTCTGCTGATATACTGTTTTGCTCATTTTAGTCTATGCATCATATGTCAACCAGTGGAATTATTCTTTATCTGATATAGCTATTCTTGAATGTTTACATATCTAACCTTATAAAAATAGGGCATCTCAGATCATGAGGAAGATCTGAAGTCCACTTCATCATAGGGGACCATGGACCCTTTAAAGAAGTGCCAGTAGCTCAGAGCTCTACTTCAGTTTCTCTTATTGTAGGTTGGATAATTTTTATCCCCACACTTGTATTATTCTGAAAAGCTTTCATGCATGTAAGTTTTATCTCCTCAATCAGAGAGTAAGCTTCTTGATGACAAGGATGTCATCTTCTCTTGTATGTCCTATAACACCTAGTATAGAGCTAGGGCTAAGCACGTAGTTGGGTCTCAGTCCTTAAACCATAAAAGGTTAGAGTTGGAAGGAACTTTAGAAATCATTTAGTTAAACCCCCTCATTTTACAGAATAGAAACTGAAGACCAAGAGGGGTGTGAATTAGTTAAGGTCACATTTTTGTTCTTTGTCCAGAGTCATATAGCTACTAGTAAGTGTCTAAGGCCGGATTTGAACTCAGGTCTTCCTGACTCCAGGGCCAGCACTCCATTCACTGTGCCTCTTAGCTGCCCACAAGGTCACATAGCTAGTGTCAGTACCAAAACACAGGACTTGTGCCCTTTCCTCTACACCATACTACCATCTGATCTCTTCTATGCATAGTATTTTATAGTGTTTAACATTATTTAACTGTATAAATGTATGAAAATTATATTTCCTCAATTAGATGAGTGGCTAGGTAATACATTTGATAGACTGCTAAGCTTGATATCAGGAAGACCTGAATTCAACTGTGGCCTTTGACACTAGCTATACGACCTTGGGTAAGTCACTTAAGCTCTGTTTGTTTCAGTTTCCTCAACTATAAAAAAAGGGGTAATAATAGCACCTACCTAACAGTTTTATTGTCAGGGTCAAATGAAATAATATTTATAAAGAACTTAGCATAGAACCTGGCACATAGTAAGAAAGGGCTTAAATAAATGCTTATTCCTTTCCTCCCTTTCCCACCCCTAAAAAAAAGGGCATTACCTTTAAAACAACTAAGCAAAATAGCCTGATTAAAATTTTTTTTAAAATTTCCTGACTCTTTGTATAATGTGCTATTGGCATGGCCTCCAGCAAACTAATCATCAGAGCATTGTGCCAATGCGGCATTGGGTATTTGGAGCAGTAATCATGCAACATCTCTATCTTCCTAATTAATTTCAACAGTATCACTGAATGAATACCAAATGGTAAGATTAGATCCCCAGAAAAGGTGTCCTGGGCTCAGTTATAGCCTCTGTTAAAGTCCTGTGGGCCTCAATGCATGCAAAGTTTGAATGATGAGCAATTTTCATATGGAGCAAAGCTATAATGAGGAAAGAAGAAGCAGTGTTTCTTAAAGAAGGACATTTAACTGTTAGGCAATTCCTGTTAGAAAGAGACACTAAACAACAAATATTTGAGCACATTTTACTTTTATGGGTAAATTCATTCCATTTATGTTCCCAGTTATGAATGTGCATTTCCTCTATCCTGTCCTCTTATACTTTTCCCCTTCTCTTTCCCCTTCTCTCTTTATTTATAATGAAGAAGAAATTGTGACAGAAGAGTTTGCTTGACCTGACCCTTGTGATCTGTAAATGACATGATCTGTATCTTCTCTTTTCCCCTTATCCTATCCCCAATCACAGATTTTTGCTATTTATTTTTAATTCTCTCTTTTTACTTCACCTTCTAACATTAGAATTTATTTTGCTTATGACTACTGCCTCAATGATTTTGTTTTCTTTCTTAAATCCCACTGTCATCTGTCCCTATCCTATACTATTTCCTATTTGCATGCCATGCTGTATGTGTATTTTTATGTATATATTCTACCTTTCTTTTTACAGTTCAGATGACAATGAGATTCATGGGATATCAACTCCCCAACCCCTTTCTCTCTGTATTATGGTTCATCGCATGCACCCCTATTTGTAAGATAATGCATTTCACCTCCTTTCTCCTCCTTCACTCTCCAGTATAGTCCTCTAACCAGGCATGTGTTACAGCCAGATCTAACTTGCTTGTGAGAATCCATGGCTAAATTTTCAGTGTGAGCATTTACACTTCAGAAATCAGCAATTGCTACAAATCAAGGTTTGATTTATGGTTTTACTGATTGTCTAGATTTAAGAAAGTATTAATAATGAAGATTAACCTTAAAACTGTGTGTGCATACATTGTCCCATCCCTCCAGTGTAGCCATTAAACATTTCCCAGCACACCTCTGTGTTGCTCTATAAACATTGCTTGAGTTCAGCAGGAGTGCAATAGAAGGCTTAGGGAATGAAGTCATCACTAGACTGGAGGCTAATTATAATAAGAAGTGGCATTTACTGTAAGGTTCTCAATGTGCTTTACATTCCTTATCTCATTTGTGCCTCACTACTCCATCACCTCTAACAATCTTTTTTTCCTTCTGCTCTCAATACCATCAACAGAACAAAAGCACTCTCAGTCCTGAGAATGGTACCAGATAGAGAACTGGAATGGCCAGAGAAAGTTTCACAGAGATGAAATTTGATCTAAATTTTAAAAGATGATCAGAAATTATATAGGCAGAGAGGAAGAAATAGTGAATTTTGGATTTGGAGAACCAGCTGTCATCGTTTATCCTTCATTTTCAAAGAGGACCAGTGATGTCTTAAGTTGGTTAAGCAATGCAGAGCTGCTCAATGTTGTTGGCCTCTGTTTTTCTTTCAGTCATCAAAGTCTGGTGGAAGGACAAAAATCAAGGAGACTGGTGGTGACCCAGGATACAGTGGATGACCTTGAAGACTTTGGTGTCTGACCAGGCTCTAAGTGCTCTACAATACCTGCCTCAGCCACCTTCATGGCCATTGGGAAAAAAGTCTTCTAATTCACCCATTCTGCCAAAGGGAAGTCTTCACATGCTTGGGGTAGACACCTCCCCCACCCCAAATCACTGATGGGTTTGAAGTTCATTGGTTACCCCTGTGTGGGCTGCCACTCAAATTAAAGAACACATAGAGGTATCCAAGGAGAAACAGAAAGTTAATTTATTATTATTATTTCAAACCTTGAGATTTGGGTGTCCCTCCCCCCCAGAATTCTCTGATGAAAGGAGACACAGACAGAAGCAAAGGACCTGATTAAATAGCCCTGATGGGCAAATTCCCCCCTCACACCAACTGGCCAATATTTGGCTCACATTCTCAATGTACCATAGAAATTGAAAACAAAGCAATGCACACAACAAACATATCTATATTTCTTAGTTTGCTGAAGTAAAACCAAAGAAGCAATTAAAGATGTGCAGTCAAGCTAGACACTGTACTGTGTAGCCAGGTCACCATGACCGAAATATAGCAACAAGTGCATCAACAAAATACAGGGGGGCGGGGCTTCTTCAGCAGTTTCAGGCTTGGCAAACTTTAACTACTTAACAATCTCATGGGGGGGTATTTGGGGTTGAATTCCCATAAATCAGGTGATTTCTAGTAAACCAAAACTTAGGCCTGTCAGGCTGCTATGCCTTCCTTGAGTCTAATACAATTTGTATTTATTCTAAGAAGTTTTCACAGGACCCCTCATCTCACTCAGCTTTATCCGAAACCTTAATTACACTGAGGAGTCTTCACTGGGACATCCCATTCACCCCCCAACCTGGTTTAGCCCATTTGCCAAGATAGTTTACTAGAATGTGGCCACTGTACATGCTACAGTTTCTTGGAGCCACAGGTGAGAACTGGATGACAAGTGGACACCAAAGGTGAATAAGCAGCCCTGAAAAAGGCTTGGCAAGCCCTAACATCAGATGCACTAGTCCTCCCTGAACACCCATATACCCCAGAGAGAACTAGAGAACCAGTATGCACAAGGGCATAGAAGTGAAAATGTATAGGGCATATTTCTGCAAGACTCTAACTAGGGTGGGGTGACTGGGAGTGATAGGGTTGGGATCTGGGCCCCAGAAAGTAAAAACCCTGGACTTTTCACATGGCCAAAACTCTGGCATTTGCCTGAGGCTATAATCCCATCAACTGGCTTTTCATTGTGGCTACACCCAATCTCCCTTCCTTTGTTTTACCTCCCTATGTATGCCCGCCCCCCCCCCAGCCATTTCCCACCCTTAATCCTAGCTAGGCTCCATTCTCTCTTCCTGAAGAGGCCCAGGTCCCAGGAGTTCTGTTCACCCCAGTTTACTGGCCACTCCTGGGTCCCTCCCACCGGCTTTCTGTGTATAAGGTTCATCTTGTCTCCATCAAGATGCTTAGATTCTTAAAATCTAGCCACTGCTCAGATTCTTAAAACCTAGCCACTGCTGGGATTCTTAAAATCTAGCCACTGCTGGGATTCTTATAATCTAGCCACTGCTTACTCATGTTCAGACTCTTTAAGAGTCTGCCCAATATGGCAGATGTTCTAATAAACCTTGTATTTGGCTGAGAGAAGGCATGGGTCGAATTCTTTCAGGTAGGACCTGTGTATTGTGATATTGGGGTCCCAGCACTGGTGAACCCCTAACCTGCATTTGGAGTATGCCCCAAGGCAGAAATTTAAAGGGTGCTGACAATACTCACCATCTTTCAGTGGTATATGAAGAGGTTTAGGGGTTTTGGGGTGCTGCAAAATCCCCAAGATCGCGGTACCGGGCCCTGCTGAATGAATTCAACTCAAATCTTCTTCAGCCAGAGGAAAAGTTTATTAGCGATAAATCACATTGGCCAGGTGACTCCCGTAAAGACAGTGGGCATGAGGGATTCTCAGCCTTTTGAGTGTGAGATTCTCAGCCGGGTGACACCCATAATGATGAGCGGGCATGAGAGGTTCTCAGTCTTGTGGGCCTGAGATTCTCAGCATCTGAATGAGGGCCAAGGTGGATCTTAAATACTAAAGTAACTTTGGGTGGCCAGAGAAGGGGGTTGGGAAAAGGGTCTAGGTAAGAATTCTAATTGGGGAGGTCAGAGAGATTGAATAGACAATGGGAATAGCTAATGGAGGGAACAGGAAGGCAGAAGTTTGAAAGGCATCTGCACAAAATCAAGGTGGGGCTAGGACTTTCAAAAGGAGATAAAGGAAGGTCTTTCTGGGGCCTATAGACCAGAGTCTTTCAAAGGGAGATGAGGGGAGTCGATTAGGAAATTTGACGGTTTAAGGGTTTTTCTGGGTCCTGTAGACAAACAGGAGCCAGATTCTATTCTGGGCAAGGGTTGAAGGTGCATCTGAATAAGATCTAAAGGTAAGCTAGGGCTTTCAAGGGAGATGAGGGTCTGGGGCCTGTGAGTCAGATTCCCTTTGGGGCAAAGGGTGGAAGATCTTGGCTTGGGCCCGGGCCCCTATCAGTATAGACATAAAGTTTACACAAATTAGCAAGAATAATTTAAATACCAAATTGAAGGTTAGGAAGAATGTTCCTTCCCAGCCCCCACAACATCCCTTCTTCAAACCTGCTATAGCCTTCACAGTGATGACATCACACTAGTGTTCCAGGGTCTCTGTCAAACCCTGTATCTCTCCCTCTGCCTCCCTGAATTAACTATATAGTTCATGCCACTTGCTCCAAATATAGTTTGTGGTACTTGTCCTGATCATAAAACTTTTAAGTTACAACTCTGTATTTGAAAGACAGAAATTAAACCAGTGTGGTTGGAGCAAAGGTTTATATAGAGTACTGGGAGATGAGGGCAGAAAGGTAAATAGCTGTGGTCAGATTATAGAGAGTTTTGATAAAAAAAAAAATAAAAGAAGCTAACCACAATTCTTATAATCACTCATCTGGGGTGAAACCATTATCTTTAGTGTAAAGGACAACCATACAATAATGTCCAAGTGAGACTATTTGCCCAACTACTTCTGTCCAGCTGTCCCTCATTCATCAAGGGGACTTGCCAAAACCTCAGAGAAAATCTTAAAGAAAATTAAGTGGAGATCCCCATTGCTTCATTGCTTCTTAATCTTAAAACAATGAGGTTAATAAAAATAAAACACTCCTATTGAGTTCTTTGAAAGTAGTGTTAAAACAGGTCAATAAAGTAATCTGCTTTTTTCTTGCTCAATACTGTTTTATTAACTTCATTGTATTTTAAGCATTGAATCAAGAGCCTTTCTGCATTAGGGAAGGGCCGCATTTGTCAACACACAGATAGACTAATCAGATCATACAGTTGAGTAGATATCCTCACTTAGGTTATAATCTGGGCTTATATCTCTTTTCCAATTCTAATTCTGCAATTCTCTCTACCTCTGTCTGCTTATCTATCTTACACATGACTGCCATTTGTTATACTCTCACATCACTTAATCACAGCACACATTTTAATTAAAGTGAGTTACAAAGCTCAGAAAAGAAATTATGAAATCTTTTCAGCTCTTGAAATTTTTGCCTGATTCTATTTTTCCCCTGAATATCTCATTTTCATAAACCTAATCTTCTAATTGTATCCACCTACTTATCAAGTATAATCAGCAAACCAAAATTAAACTATTCTCCACCTCTGCCCTTCTAATCAATCACAAATTAAAAGGGAAAAGATCCAGTTCAAGTGGAGAAATCTGCATTAGGAGCTCAAATGCTTCTATCCATTATAGCAGACTCTCCTTGTGGAAGTTAAATGTATAGACACCAATTAGAGAGAATACAAACAAATGACTTTAAGTGGCTTTCTGTCTGAGGTGGAATTAGTTTTACAAATGCAAATATCGACTTAGAAAATGAAACTTGATTTAAAGGAGACCCAGAGGCAGAGATATTCCATACTAAGCCAAGGATTCAAAGGCTAGAGGGAGAGAGACTCTTTTATAAACCCTGTATCGCCTCCACATCTGGCAATATTCTACATATAGGAGGCAATCTGATAAATGCTTGTTAAATTGAACTTCCTTGAAACTTTCTCTTCCAGATGATAATATTCAGAGGGCTCAACCTGCTAAAAGCCATGAAAGGGTAGGGTAGATAGGTTGCACTTCATTCATTTTCTCCATTGTATTTAAAAAATTTTAACATTTGTATGGGACATAACATGTTGAAAAAGATCAGCAAAACTAAATGTGTGTGTGTGTGTGTGTGTGTGTGTGTGTGTGTGTGTGTGTGTGTGTGTGTGTGAATTCTTGGGAGTAAGGAACTCCCAGGAACAGGGCAGGGATAGTTTTCACTCAAAACAAGGTAGCAAGGGAAGAAAGACCAGGTCAGGGACAGGACCATTCCCAAGAAAAGGTTAGCAGAAAGTTGAAATCCTCACCCCCAGGAAAGATGGACTACATTCAATTGTGTGACTGGGAAAATGTGGGCTGTGTGGACAAGTATTTGTGAGAGCTTGATTGCTTTCACCCCATATTTTCGTCACAGATGCCCTCAGCATGAGTCAAGATAATTCACATAAAGACTAAAAATCTCTATAGAGCTATGAGAAAGTATGTATATCTTCTTGGTCACTTAAAAAAAATAATCAAATCTTCCATGAATATTTTTTCCCATTTTGGGGTGAATGCTTCCCTATTTGAAATCTCTTGATAACTGACCTCCGAGTGCCTTTAAAAGATTACCAAATGGGAACTGTGAACTGATCCAACCATTCTGGAGAGCAATTTGGAACTATGCCAATAAGGCTATGAATCTGTAGATATCCTTTGACCCAGCAATACCATTACTAGGTCCATATCCCAAAGAGATTAAAAAAAAAGGAAAAGGACCTATTTCTAGAAAAAAAATATTTTTAGCAGCTTTTTGTGATGGCAAAGAATTGGAAATTGAAGGAATACTTATCAATGAGGGAATGACTGAACAAGTTGTGGTATAGGATTGTAATGAAATAACATTGTGCTATAAGAAATGATGAGCAGAATGCTTTCAGAAAAACCTGAAAAGATTTACATAAACTGATGCAAAGTGAAGTGAGCAGAACCAGGAGACCATTGTACACAGGAACAGCAATATTATATGATTATCAACTGTGAGTGACTTAGCTATTTTCCACAAAATACAATGATCCATGACAATTCCAAAGGACTTGTGATGAAAATGCTATCCACCTCCAGAGA